CTGAAGTGCAGCAGGGCTGAGCTCAGCAGGCTGAGGGCAGCACTGACCTGTAGTGAGGAGCGGGCAGCTGCTGGATGACGTCCCGCATTCTGACCAGCCGCTCCTCCTCTGTAGTGGCACCAACAGCATCCTGGAAAAGGGCAGAAAGGGATTGAGACACAAATCAGGCGAGATACCTGCCGCAGGGTCGGGAACCATGGGCACAGCGCGCTGCTGGTCAGCACTGAGAAAGATTTTAGGCCTCCCCAGAGGCATCTGGCAAACATAGCGGCACGCAGCTGGTGCCACCAAGGCCAAGGAGTCCAAGCACCGGGCCGGTTTACAGCCTGGTTGGGCAGCTCAGCTCCTCGCAGGGGGCATTCATCTCCAAGTACGCTTGGCTATTAATCCCCTTCCTGTTCCAGAAATAGCTGGGGAATAGCAAAAAACAAACAAACAAACAAACAACACAGGAATTCTCGCAAGCACTGTGAATATGGAAATAACCACCTCCTGGGGCCACCAGAAGCGGCATCAGCACGATGCAGGATGTGGCAAAGACATGCGAGTAAACCCCATGGGGCTAACAGAAGAAGGGCCTCAGAGCTGGGGCACTGCTGCAGCCATCTCCCAAGAGGCCCAGCGAAGAGGGAAAGGAAAGGCGTTGCCTCGTGCTTACCGAGAACTTGTCGTACAGCTGGTCGGTCAGCAGGGGGGTCGGGAGCTCCCTGAAGTACATTTTGCAGAGGGAGCTCGCGCTGTGAACGTCGCGGACGGTTAGCTCAGGAACCTGCTCACACTCAAATTCCTGGCTGCAGAGAAGGACACGAAAGCGGTTGAGAAAGAGGAAAGCAAGTCAAAAGCCACACCCAATGCAATCAAGAGTTGGAAGGGCTTCCTGATCTACAGGAGAACACAAACACTCGGCCACCAGCACCACGTCAGCCGTGCTGGATGGGATGTTCCCAAAGGAGACCTTTTCTCTGTGCTAAGGCATTGCCCGCAGGCCTCTGAACGCCCGCAACAGGGCACGTGCCCCTGCTGGCAGCTGTGTCTGTCAGTCGCAGCACTCTTACCGCAGTCTCTGGACGTTGGACGCCACGCCGGACAGGCGGTATATCCCCTGCACCACGCCATGCTGCTCGATGAACTCGGCGCAGCTCTGGAGGACCTGGGGGACTAAAGAACACGTGCCGGCGGTTACTGGAGCTCCTTAGTCAAGTCCTGCCTCAGGCTGCGCTCCCGTCACATCCCATCCACTAAGCCCAGCCGGGCTTGGCTGAAGCAAATACAAACGTGCTTGTCTCTTGGGAGCATTAGCCTCACTTCATCTTTCAGCCATCAACTCCCATTCCCCGTTTCTCCACTGGTATCAACCTGCCCCTTGCTACATACCATCTCCCTTTCATCGTTAGGTTCTCAAACAGGGAAGCTCTCAGGAATGGGCTGTCCCTTACCATCACGACCAGAGTGAAGAAGATGCTCTCCCAGGTCACGGCCGAACACCCTCTCCTTCTCCACCTCCCGCTCTTTCCGTTGCTTTGGGCGGGCCTTCACCACGGAACGAAGGAAGGTGAGGAGCTTGCCGCGCTTCTTTGGCACTGCACAACAAAAGGAAGAAACCAGTTCATCTCAGGTTTGGCTCCGTTGGACGAGGCCGAGCACAACACATTCTACAGAGCACCTCAAAACGGGAAGAACATGATGAGCAAGTGCGTACCAAAATGGATTTTCCCCAACCCTGGATGAGTCCAAGGCCAGACTGGATGGGGCCCTGGGCAGCCTGGTCCAGTCCCACTTTAAACGTGGAGCTTGGTTGGCAGCCCAGCTTGAGGCAAGGGGGCTTGGAGCTTGATGATCCTCGAGCTCCCTTCCACGCCAAGCCATTCTACAAGGATTCTAGGATTTCCCCAACTCCAGTCATAAAACACAGCAGGACTGGGCCAAATCTCTGCACGTTCTGATGGAGTTGAATGCACTCCTCTTGCTTAGCTTGCTCAACCTGGGCATTAAGGACCCTCTTGAAAAGCCACGTTCTGATCAAGCGTGTCACTAGCACAACCAGACCTCTATCTGTCCACCAGGGACGCTGGCTGTTCTCAGCCTCGTACGGACTTGCCGGAGAACTGCCTTGGCCTTCCCTCATTCTCACTGCCTACAAAACACCAGCCATACGCCCCGTGCTATGCAGGAAGGATTATCAGCACAGAGGATAAGGGGGGAAGGATAAGGGAGGTATTAAACATGGAACACACCCAAAAAAGACTCCATTTTGCTTCCCTGCACCATCAAATGTCTCATCGTACCTGGCTTTGGCACTGAATTGATGAGAGACTCCGGGATTTTTCCGTTAATGAGCTCCACACACTCACCAGGGAAAAATCCAACCTGTAACAAGAGGAAGAAGAGACGTGCAATACTGAAGGCAGCGTTTCTCAGGCCTGAACTGTTCAAACATCACCTTTTCCTCATCACGTGCCTGCCGGATGCTCCGTAAGACAATCCAACCAAAAAATGGCCTGCTTAAAATTAATAATTATTCCAAATTGGCAGGCAAATATCCATAAAACTGTGTATGGAGCGGGGAAAGGACAAGTATGCTATGCACCCCTAAATCTCAAGCGTGCCCGAAGGGAAAGACTTCATACAGAAGCTATATATTATGATAGATTGATGCAGCTAGATCTGAGTTGGCACAGCCTATGAACTTTCTGCTTGCTGACTGAGATGCAGCTGCCATCCCCAGCTCTGAGCTACCCAGCGTTCTGCAGCCAGCAGCAGCAGCAGCAAGCGCGCAGAGGCTCTGTTACCCTGCCTCATCTCAGCTGACAGGCAGCGACTTCCTAAAAGACGCTGACTTCACCTTCTGCATGGGTGCAAGCACAAGTGCTCAGAGACACTGAAACACGTGTCCTAGCTGCTGCATTTCCAAAGGTGCGGTTCAGTGGCCGTGACCTGATGCACGCTGTGAGGGCTCTTCTTTCTAAGTTAACTGAGGAGGCAGTTTCCTACAAAGACCAACTTTCAGCTCTGGCCTAAGCCCACAGCAAAAGGGAAAGTCCTCTGACACCAGCACAAGGAAACCATTTTCCATGTGGAGCCATGCTGTGCAGGCAGGGCAGCTCTAAGCTGAGATTCCTGCCTCGACCGAAGTTGCGCTCTCACGTCTGAAGCTTGGGCCTACCTGAAAGCCGTGCTTGCCTCTCCAGCGGGGGCTCAGCTCCTGAGGCGGCATCTCGATGACGCACACGAGGTCTCCCACCTGCAAGAGATTGCAACGTCAATCCCAGCTTCGGCACGGCTGGGAGGAAAGCGCAGCTCAAATGACTGCATTCTTCTGCACTGCCCAATATCGTCAAGCTTGAGAGCCATTGCACCAGTGCAGCTCTTCAGGCATTTGCAGTCGTACAACTGAACGTGCAAGTAGAAGAGTCACTCCAATACACAACATACAGAATTCAGCTGTTCAGTATGAAATGGTTCTCAGAAGCAGCAGGCTCTTTGCCAAAGGGAGAGCTCCAATTAAACCGCAGGCATAAGTCAGCCAAACAGATCCTGAACAGATCTGCACACTCCATACACTGCTCTGCCATTGCTCAGAGACCAGGCTACCACACCGGGCAGTAGCTCTTGGATCACAAGATTCCAATGCCAAATAGAGCCATAGTTCAGAGATGGCTGAACTCCTCCCTGCATCCAACCCAGTGCAAGTCTAATCTGGAGCCGCACCTTCTGAGCTTCACCTCACCAAACATTCGGAAGGTGTCTGAGAATATTCCTGAGAGCTTCACACGTTATACTCTTCTGTACAGGACAACAAGGAACGCCCTTAACTGCTTACCTCCAAGGAGAGTTCACCCGGTGCCTGGGCAACGTATCTCTTAATAACGTGGGCAGCAGCAATAGCTGGGATATTAAGAGATGACTCCTCACGGACCAGCAGGGGCTTCCCGTTGTTCTCAGCCTGAAACACAGAGCACAGGCCACGGTGAGGAGCTGAGGGCAAACGAGGAGGATTTCAGGCTGAGGAGCATGTCAGCAGAGAAAGCTGCAGGAAGTGCACTCCGTCCTTATCATGGGCACACAAGAAGGAACGGCAAGGCTAAGAACATGCCCGCAGCAAGGAAAGAAAGCCTTGAAGGCAGCTTTTCAGTGACACCGATAGAGCCGCAAGGATTCGCTCTCTTGAAAAGCAGGAGAGCACATCTGCAGCTCACTCTGCTGGCTCAAGTCAGGGAACAAAGACCAATCAGAGCTCCACACTCTACCTCCATCCGTGTCATGCCAGGCTCACAGCTGATCTCGCTGCACGCGATGCCCATCACAGCAGGCACGACAAGCTGGAATGAAAAGAAACACGCTCATATTTTCTCTCTTCACACACCACACTATTGAGAGACTTCTTCAGAACTACCCTTGGCTATCCTCTGGCACAGGCGGGTGCTCTAGAAGCAACCACTCTGTTCACTCCGTTCAAATGGGACAGCCCATTAGGCAGCATTTGACCAAGCGGCTGTCCCTCTGCTAGCAGATGGGGACTGGCACAAAGCAGCAGATGCATTCGCCCAGGGCGCTCTGACAGCGCAGCAGCAGGGCAGTGAGAGGAATCATTGCTGCAGGTGCATCTGCTCCCCGGCCCCGGCTCCCAGCAGCCTCACCACCGGCACCTGCTGCAGCCCCGCACATCAAGGATTTCCTCTGCTCGCATCTCTGCTCTGCTCCCTACAGCTGCCGCGCACACTCTCACAGGCCAAGCGTGCGTGCTTGTGACCTTGGGTCACGCTGTGCAGCTCAGCACAAACTGGGCCTAGGACTCTTTGCCTAAGGGATTGCTTTCCTTCAGACCAGCTGGTCACAGCACCACACACAGCATCCTCCTGAGGGCGGAGCTGCAGGGGAAGGGAAAAAACCCACACGGGACCAGTGTCCCATCAACGCTGGGTGAGGCTGTGTTACCAAACATGGTGCGACACAGTGCTGGTCAACCACGTGGGGGGACAAAGCGTGGCACGTACCTGGCAGGAGATCAGAACAAGGTAGACAATTCCTTGAACTCGCAGCTGTTTCTTGTCACTTTGCTCTGTGCTTCCACGAGCGAAAGCTGCACCAAGGGAGCGGATAGAGGAGAGAGAAGGAACAGGTCTGTGAGCTTGCACAATGCAGCAAAGATGACAAGGGAAAAGCCACGGGACAAATGCCATCTTTGTGGATCGCTTGGGAATGCAGGTACTGGCTGAAAGTTACGTCTGATGGACAAGAGTAAGCAGTACGAGCTGCTAGGAGCTCCACCAGCCAGCAGTTTTCAACAGCTCACTGCCCACCCGTCCATCCCACGCTGTCTCAGCTTACCTACAAGATGCTGCACAAGACACAAGGGGTGAAACCGAAGGCACTCAGTCGCTGCACAAGGGCAACAAGCGAGCTACTCACGCAGAGCTCAAGCGCTCCAATGAAGGGACGCAGCACGCACTGCTCCTCCCCTCATTCCAGCCTCTTGTGACATCACTAAGGGCCACCAGGCTGCTCCGCCATGACGACAGGGTGGGGAGGCAAGACCATGTCACAGGACCAGAAGATTCCAACACCGCACCCAACATTCTAGAATCAGTGGGCCCTTGGAATTCTACCTCAGCCCAATCCTGCACAAGCTGCCATGCGGTTGTCATGACCACAGCGCAGGACCCAGCGCTTGCTCCTGTGCAGCCTCGTACGGCTGGCCTCAGGCCGTCCCTCTGCAGGGCCTTCCTGCCCTCGGGCAGATGGACATTGCTTCCCAACAGCGTACCTCGCAGCGCAGGGCCTATGTACAATCCACACTGCAGTCCTATCGATCTGTATCAAGCTATCTATACCCAGACACACAGTCACCACTACCATCTTCTTTCTGAGTCTTGAGGTACACCATTCAGCGGTTTCATTGCCATCAAACAACCCCACTGACGGCACACTGCTGACACAACGTCCTTGCTAACACAGCAGCAACTCCTGGCACCGACAGCTCCGGGTACAACAAGCACAGGGCTCTGCGTTGCTTTGGATGCAGTTGCAGCATGGATCTGAGGGCTTTGTGGAAGGGGATATATTGCAAATTGCACCGACGTTTTCAGACCATTTCTCTTTCGGCATGGTCCCAGCACCTGGCATGCTGATCATCATCCTGAATATACATTTTGTCAAAGTTCTACAACTAATGAAATAGTTCCTTACCAAACGCAATCTGATCACTCTTCTGGCCATATTTTGTTCCAGCTACCGCTTCCTGCGGGTGGCACCAATAGCGCTGCATCACCTATAGCTCTCTGCTCTTACAGTTCTCATGCTGTCTGGGCAGTCCTCGTGGCCTCACAACTCTCTCATGCCACACGTGCCACATTCTGAGGCACAGAAGATATATCGCACTACTTCAAAACGCCTTTTTTTTTTTTTTAATACAATGATACTAGGGATAATCATCTGGAGCTAGAGCATTATAAAAAAATTCCCTTTAGTTCAACCATAAGTCTGCCCCATGGACTCCAGAAGAGCTCTAAGAATATGCAGCCTGGACATGGATGGCAGCTACCATAACAGTAAGCAATGAAAAATGAGGTGGTGAGCCATGCTGTGTCATTGCATCTGCGGGCAGGGATTCTCCTTGGACTGAGCAGAGTGCAGATGTCGCCTGAGAAAAGAACTTAGGATCATTCAGGAAAAGCAAATGAGTTGAGTAATTAATTGAAGAAACTCACGTTCTAAAGGTACTTAGAAGGAGAGAGTATTTCCCAACAGAATGGGTTTAACTGTCTATTCCCTGTTTTGCTAGACAGGTCTACTCTGTGTATGCTTAGACTGACCTGAGAGGGCATGCTTCAGCACACCCCACAATTTCCAGTTTCCACATCGTCCAGGCAGCGCAAGTGCGGTGTACGTCTCCCTTGGCACAGACATCAAGCTTTTCTTCCTGTGCAATCAACTAATTATGACGGGGGAAGGGGACAGTACAGGCCTCACAAGAGAAGAGCCTGGCGGAACGATTTTAGAGCTGGGAGTCAGGCAAATGACTCGGCTCAAGTGCACCTATACCAATGCACGCAGCATGAGCAACAAGCAGGAGGAACTGGAAGCCATTGTGCACCAGGCTAACTACGATCTAGCTGCTGTTACTGAAACATGGTGGGACTGCTCCCATGACTGGAGCGTTGAGATTGATGGCTATAAGCTCTGCAGAAGGGATAGACAAGGAAGGAAGCCAGAATATTCATCAATACTGAATTGATCCTGCAATTCAGGAACCTCACAAGCAACCTGAAATAAGCGTCTAAAAAAAAAAAAAAAAAAAAAAAAAAAAGAAAAGAAAAAGGAGAAAAAGGTAATCAGCATACCAGCAGCTGTTCTTCTTCAAACCATGGTTCCCAAGCATACTGCAATTGGACAAGCTATAGCTTATCACATCAAAAGCCATCTAGAAGATTCAGTTATTGGTACTGGCCATGTCGGCATTCGCTCACTGTAAGCATCTGCAGGACAAGTCCATGGACCGAATGACCTTGTGCACCCATCCTTCTGTCTCAGCTGCAAGAATAATCCTCACTCCCAGCCATTTCCAGTTTTCTTTCTTACAAAAGATGAAAGATATAAAGAAGCTCTTCATTCAAAAGTTACTTGATTATACAAACAACTAAATTCCAGCCTGCTTTAATCCAAAGTGCCATCTAGTTTGCATACAGGGAACTAGGGTGCATATAGGAAAGAACGCACGCACACTCTAGTTTTCAATGGCCAGAATATCATAATAAACACATAGAAAAACAGCCTTTACTCTGGAGGCTTGTATGGCAAAGCCAATTGTTTGGACCAGCTCATTAACATACTATATCTAGTTTGTCAATTCCAGCTACGTATTTTATATGTCATTATGATCAATGATTGTGGAAGCCCAAAGGGCAATCTCTCATTTTCAACAGACCTCCTTTTTGGCTGAGATGGAATTTATTACATTTAAAATTCATCACTCCTCTTTGTTTGCAACACTGTCCACTGACAAACTCCTCAACACAATCAGCTCAAGTCTTCTACCTGAATTTCTGGGATGACTGTGACAAGTATTCCTTCACGATGCTCAGATGTGCACCGTCTCCCATGAGCATCTTGCTGGACGCAGCATGCTGCAGCATCTTTGCAACAAACCAAGGTTTCTTCGTTGATCTGCAGTCAGCTGCCCTCCAGCTGAAAGATCCATTAGGTCAAATGCATCCGGTGCCACCATGGCCGGATTCACGTAGCCGTGATAGAGTAAGTTGCCAACAATCTAGGACAAGTTGAGGAGAGAAAAAAACACGTGGAAAACCAATGGCACAGACCTCCACTGACTTTTACTGACACTACTCCGAGTGAGTTCTGACCAATTACTTTCCTGTGAGCTGTGGGCCCCGTTCCAGATGCAGGGTCTACTGCGCTGCCATTAATAAGCACATGCTGTCCCAAAGAATCTTAGTTTCACACTGCAACATAGATACATACACTAAATAAATGCACAACGGTGCATTTAATCCAGAAGTAAGAAACTCAGAAGTACCGAAGATGAGCGGTATTTGACATTTCAAAAGAAGTCCAATTCACCAGCTAAGTGAGCAGCAATGAACGCCGAGGCCCCAAAGATAAAGACAGCCCGTTATCCACGTGCTCATCCATCTACTTCTAACCCGTATTGGACATTTGCCTGCAGTAATTCCCACAACAAAAAGGCATTGGCCCAGCACGCTGACATGCAGCAAAAGTTCCCACGCCACATGCTTCAGTATTTCCTGGAGTTTCACATCAATCTGCGCAGAGCCAAGTCACAGAATCTGGGCTTCTCCTGCTTCACGTGCAAAACTGTTCACTACCAGTCATAAGAAACACATTTGTGAGAGAAATCATATTGATAATAGTAAAACATGTAGTAGGAAGACAAGAACAGTACACTGTAGGAGTAGTTTTAGGCCCTAATGCATCTACAGGCAGTCACCGCACGCAGCTGCAGTTCAGAGTGCGGCATGGGCCGTGACATTGTTTCCACAAGGATTAATAAAAACTGCAGCTTTCCACCTACATTTACAGATGGAAAAAATGAATTCACCTGCACAGAAAGAATCGATGCCTCAGAACGGGAAAGCACGGAACCAGAAGAGAGAAGAAAACGGCATTCAGATTGGGAATTACTTCGTAATGAAGCAGAGACAGAAAAGCTTAAAGAGACTGTGGCAAGTAATGTCAAAGCCACTCTTTGTTTTATTAAGAAGAAGAGCACTCACAGACAGAAAGACCTTCAAAATAACAAACGCCAGGACAATCCCAATGAAAGCCACAATGCTGTGCTCATTTGGAAGCATTTACTACTAACATCCTTTTCGTTCTCCAAAGTACGGAAATGTACAACACAAAACTGCCCACACCTCATGAAAAATGACACCATATACTTTGTTGCAGCTACTGTAATGCCCTAGAATATTGTAAGGGAAGTGAGAAGAGTAGAATTCTGCACACGGGCCTTTTCAACTTGGCACACTGTCTCTTTAAAAAAAGAGCAACTGACTCAGATAACACCAGCAAAACCAAGGTGCACCATTCAGCAGCAAGAGCATCCCAAAGCCAAGAAACCTAGGGGGCACAATGCCCAAGATATTAAAAGCAAAAGGAAAAGCAATAGGGTGACTTCTTCTGAACGCTGTAGTATGTCTCCTTTGACAAACATGTATCCAGCAATCCAAAGCACAGGGCAAAGTACTTTATACCCATAACAACAAATAGCCTGTCTACTTAAACTGCAGCTTTGAAACTTCTCTGCACACGTACAGCCAACAAACAACACTGAGATGCATCTGCTGCAGTCAGCGTGGCAGACAATGATTCACAGAGCTGCTCAGCTCCTTACCTTCAGAAGCTCATCCTCGCCAGCATCAGGAAACTTGTCATGCCGGGAGTCTTTCAGTACCTTGGCGATGAAACGCATCCCGTAACTTCGAAGGAAATAAAAGGCAAGTGAGAATTCCTCACGGATGAACCCACTATTAACTGCTGCAGGATAACGCGGTGACACACCAGACTTACGGGATTTGGTCAGCTGAACAACGATGGCAGACAGGAACTTGTCTGTCACTGCCTTCACATCTCGGGTTGAGGCATCCAGGTGCGTCCTCACCTCACCGTGATTAAGAGCTTGTTCAGGTGTAACATCGTACGGCAACTTGCTATTTGGAAAAGTCAGATGTGAAGGTGAGCACTCCTCAGCCTAATATACTTTTGTCAGTGCCAGGCAGAATTGTTGGCTTGACACACAAACAGATCCACGCTCACCTGGCTGCAAAGAGCTGCACGCTTTCACTTTCATTAGAATGCTAGCACTGAAAGAGCAAAGGACTTCTCACGTCCTCTGCTGTCCCTGCAGCAGTCGCTGTGAGAACAGGCCCAGCTAACTCTGAACTGTATCTTTCTGTACCACATGCAGACACGCTCTCTAGAGTCAAGAAGGTCACCTGCGATACGCAGTAGTACCTCAGGTCGCAAATAAATCAGTGAAAACACAAGCTGCACATTGCAGTGTTAAGATAGTAACTCACGCAGCGTGCTGCGCTGGGACAGTTGTCTTTTACTTCATAGCATTGCTTTTCCACCACTTCCCTTGAAGTGCCTTAAAAACAAAACAAATACAACCAACAACAGAATCCTCAAAATCTGGTCAACATCAAGCACTGGAAGAAACACAGAACTCTGACTGGGGACGGATGGGAGCCCATCAAGACTTTATAGACACAGATTAAAGGGAGGACAGGGACAGATGACGTAGCGGGGGATCTACAGGCCAACCAACCAGGATGACCACGTGGATGAAACCTTCTCATGGGCAGACAGGAACAGCTGCATGCTGTGATTCTATGAACACGGCCTGTGTTGAGAAGGAGCACAATGCTCATCTCGTTCCAACCCCCCGCTGCGTGCAGGTTCACCAACCAGCAGCCCAGGCTGCCCAGAGCCACATCCAGCCAGGCCTTGAATGCCTCCAGGGATGGGGCATCCACAGCCTCCTTGGGCAGCCTGCCCGAGTTGTGGGCAGAGATTGGCTTGGTAGAGTAAGAGCTACGGTATCTGTATCTATGAGTTAACACAGAAGAAATGCTTTGGGGCTTTTTTTGGCCTACCTCTTCATGAGATTCACTTCTAATAGTCTCAACACCCCTGTCACAAGATGATCTACTGCGTCCAGTTCTGGGCTCCCCAGTACAAATAAGACAGGGATCTCTTGGAAAGAGTCCAGCGGAGGGCCACGAAGATGGTGAAGGGCCTGGAGCATCTCTGCTATGAGGAAAGGCTGAGTGAACTGGGTCTGTTCAGCCTTGAGAAAAGAAGACTGAGAGGGGACCTGATCCAGGTCTATAAATATCTAAGGTGTGGGGGGCAGAATGGTGAGGCCAGACTGTTTTCAGTGGTGAGTGGAGACAGGACAAGGGGAAACGGCTGGAAACTGCAGCATAGGAAGTTCCGCACAAACATGCGCAAGAACTTCTTTACAGTGAGGGTGACGGAGCACTGGAACAGGCTGCCCAGGGAGGTGGTGGAGTCTCCTTCTCTGCAGATGTTCAAGACCTGCCTGGATGCCTACCTGTGCGACCTGCTGTAGGGAACCTGCTTTGGCAGGGGGGTTGGACTCGATGATCTCTGGAGGTCCCTTAAAACCCCTACAATTCTGTGATCTTTATACCTTTCAGAAGAAAGCCATCTCGAGCTGATGGAAAAAAGCTGGTAGCAATTGGACAGATGCATGCAATGAATACAGGGATGGTTCGGAACGATTAACAGAGCAATGCAAAGCAGCTGAGCAACTTTCAGAAAAAAAACAGTAGCAACAGCTTCCATACCCGGCCTCACCATTCTGAGATCCCATCTGGTTCACCCAGCACTTGTAAATATCCACTGGATCCGTTCTGACGTTGAGCGATTCGCCCTCAATTATTTCCTTCACAACTGGGGCCAAGATCTGCCTCAGTGCGTTCTGACCACGGGCACCACGGTTGAAAGAGCGCATCTCAAAAATACAGAGGAAACAAAGGGACTTCTACACAGGCACAACTATTTCCTCTCAGTATTTCAACAAGTAAGCAATCAGCAACAAGAGCCATTCACAGCATGCCGCTATGGGAAATCCAGCAGCAGAGAATAAAGCATAGACATGCACTTTCCTGAACTACTGCTCCAAGAAAAGATAATAATAATTAAACAAACCTTTTAGGCGTTACCTGTTGGAGGGCACATACCATCCTCATACTTAAAAACATCAAAAAAGGCATGACTGCCTCCAACATTACATGTATTTGCTATTCCTAGCAAGTTGTGAAGCTCCGTATCAGCCAGAAGTCATAAACACCAAACTCCTAAGTGCCAATCAACTCAATTATGCCGACAGACAGCCAGAATCCTTAAGCCTGACAGCCAGGAAAAAACCCAAACCAGACAGCATCTGATTTTCAGCCTCCTCATCAGTTTTGGAAAACAGTGACCTTCGCGTCAGCTTCACTCTGGCCTGTAAAGCCCAAGCTCGCAGTCTGTGCCAAGTCCTTCTTACTAGACAGCAGAGAACTTAGATGGGAATGAATCTTAGGAAAGCACTGCAGTAGATCAAAAACAGTGCCTCCCTGAGCAAGAAAGCACTGGCTAAAGAAAAATGGCTTTAATCCTAAAGAACAAAGGTAATTCCTCCTCCTTCCAGGTTACAGAAAGGACTGACGTGAAACAGCATGAGCAGAAGGCAGGGACAGTGCAGCATTATCAGCTAATGAGCACGGGACATCACACAACAACAGCTGCAATTTTAGCAGCGGCCCAAACTCAGGCAACAGCAAGGCTGTGTCCTATGCTACAACGTACTTGATCTCTTCCTGCAATGCTGTTTGCAACAGCCGCAACAGCAGAGATTCCTCTCTCTGACTGGATGCGTAGTTATGCAGCGTGAAGATGGCTGAATCCATGAACTCTGTGGGGTTGTTTTGAGGCATCTGCAAAAGCAGCTTGGCCAAGTACGTTGGAGTAGTCTAAAACAAGAAGAAAAAGTACTTAGTGCACGTGTATAATCAATGACTATTAAGATGTTGTCATTATGAAATAAACAAGAGAGTTTGACAAAGCAGACTAAGCTAACAAAAGGAGAATAAATAGAAGGCTTACCCCTATCCTGGGCTCACTTACAAAACTCCAGCAGAGCAGATCTCCAGACGAGATCCTTCCCCACTGGCAGCCAGCTCTTAAACAGGTCTAGGAGGGCTGTAGCCTGGCTGCACCCCTTCCAGCAGCACAGCTGCATTGCCTTCACCTGTGCTCCTCTGCCTGACTCACTGCTCGCCTCAGGTGATCAATCAGAGGTTCAGGCCATGACTCAGCAGTTCCCATACAGCACGTGTCCACAAAAGCCAACACCACAAAGACAGACAGCGCCTCAACACTGCAGTGCAGAAGCACAGACTGTTCCAATACACGTAAGCATCTATGACAAGAGCAGTGAATGAAAAGCTGCATACCTCAAGTAGAAAAGATGCTGATAGGCTTCCAGCTTTTCCCTCTCCTCTTTGCTCAAAGCTTTCAAACCTCCCTTTTGCTCGTTCAGCGTCATCACGTCACAGAGCTGTTCCTTGTTCTCCTTGCTAAGATTTTTGCTATGAGAAACAACATCCTGCAAAGAACACAGAGGGACAGATTCCACATTTAAATAACACGCAATATGGGAAAAAGCTGCACGATAGCACTTCCTTTTGGGTGGATAAGGCAGTCAAGGTACATCAGGAGATCATGAAGTGAAACATTATCTGTTGTAGCAGCGATTTCTGTCTTGTCCCCACATTCCAGAATTGGGTGAGAACCTACAAGGACTAATTGCTTTGAGCAGGGACTACTGTCACAGCTGGTAGCGTTCTGAAGATGCTTGAAAATGCCTTTCTTTCTCAACTGTGCTTGAAGCCCCAAGCCCTGTTTCCATTTTGCTGACTCCCTGCCTCCACTGCTCTGATAACTATGATACTTTTTGCTGCCAGCATCAGCCCAAGAGCTGGAGCCTCCTTTGGAACTGAACTTCACTGCTGCCATGGTTCAGATTTTACACAAGGTCAAGCCTAGCGCCACGCTATTCAGGACCAAAGGAAAAGGTGACTGTAACTTCAGCTTGAGTTAAAAAAAGGCACCGCTGTATCAGCAACGTTGTTCTTGTGTGCAATCAATCGTCAGCAACGTGACAGAGGGGGCTTCCATCAGCCAACCAACACCAAGCAGTCTGAGCACATTTCCTGCTCCAAAATCACCTCCCCCTTCTGATACAGCACACAAAACGTGAGAAGAAATTAAGGTGTGCAAGTCCATGACTCACGTAACCACAAGTGAAGAGACAAACAGTTCTCAGAGCCTTCAAGCATACCATCTATTGCTTTCCCTTGGTCCCGAGTGGGTTTTTTTCTGGTGCTTTGTTTTTAAAACACTTGAAGCCTTGATGTTTCTGCTGCAGTTCTCTTTCTAGGGATACATAGTAATAAGTGGAACAGTTAGGAACTTACTGGGAGGAAAACCTGTAACTCGGGGGGAAATACTTCCCACTGCATCTGAGTAAGTGAGATCCAGGCTCAGAAGGTCCTCATGCTAACTGCCATTGGCCTCAATTCACTCTGCTCGTCTCCCAGCACTGCATTTCCTACCTGCAGTGTCATTCTGTTCTTCACTAGCAGTCCAATCTTGAGGTCCATGAGATTGAGGTCATTTTCAAGCTGTTGATTAGATCGGATCAAGGTCACAGCTTCCTCACACAGTTTCATTAGCTCCAGCTCCTCCTGAAAATCTGGGTCCGATCGAGCAAGTGAACCAATTTCCCAACCACAGCCGTAGGTGGGTTTTCAGCATTAACTAAAAACAAGAGACAAAACAGCAGAGGACAGGAAACAAATTAATGCATGTGTTACCTCTGTGCAGACAGCATGTCAAGCAGCAGCCAGTCCAGGATCAAATTAACACCAATGGGCTTGAATAACTCCTGACAGCATCCGGAACTTCTGGCATGGAATAAATCACGACAGAAGTCAACGCTATAGGATGAAGTCAGTATCAGCTTAGGGGAGTCCACCTTGCTGAACTTACCCCAAAGATCAGCGCTCCTATTTCCCAGCAGCAAAAGTACTACCGTGAACCAACTTTGCACAGAATCACAGAATGTCAGGAATTGGAAGGGACCTCCAAAGATCACCTCGTCCAATCCCCCTGCTGGGGCAGGATCACCTAGATTAGGGCACACAGGAACATGTCCAGGTAGCTGCTGAATGTCTCCACAGGAGATCCCACAACCTCTTTGGGCAGCCCATCCCAGTGTTCTGTTACCCTTGCCGTGAAGAAGTTGTTCCTCTTATTTATGTGGGACCCCCTATGCTCCAGCTTGCACACATTGCCCCTTGTCCTATCACTGGATGTCACTGAGAAGAGCTTGCCTTCATCCTCCTCACGCTCACTATTCACACATTTATAAACATCAACGAGGTCACCCCTCAGTCTCCTCCAAGCTAAAGAGACCCAGCTTTCTCAGCCTTTCCTCACAGGGAGATGCTCCACTCATCAGGGCAGAGGAGAGGGGAAAGAGCACCTCTCCACCTCCTGTCCGTACTCTTTCTCATACACCCCACGATGCCCTCTTGGCCACGAGAGCACAGTGCTGGCTCATGCTCCTCCTACCGCCCACCAGGATCCCCTGATCCCTTTCTCCTACGCTGCTCTCCAAGAGCTCAGCCCCCAACCTATACTGGTACTCAGGTTGCTCTTGCCCAGATGCAAGACTCCACACCTGCCCTTGTTCTTTCTCATTCCGTTTCTCCCCACCCAACTCTCCAGGTCTCGCTGGAAGGCAGCACAGCCTTTTGCTGTGTCAGCCACTCTGCCCAGTTTTGTGTCATCAGCAAACTTGCTGACAGCACATTCCACTCCCTCAGTCAGAGGGAATTTTTCCTTCAGACACCTACCTACCTACCTATCTACTCTTTGCACCACTTCACCCCAACTGATTTTCATAGCTCTCTTCCTGTTGCAGATCTCACTAACAGTATTTTTCTGCAAATAGAGATTCAAAGCATATTAGCTTTATTCTTTTGGCCACACTTACTGAGGGTTTTGTAGTCTTCTCCTGCTTTGTTTCCTCGGATAAAAGCTTGAGTTTTTATAACGTCATTTATCTAGAATGAAAAAAAAACCCACTTAAGTGGAAAAGCCACTTAAACTTGTTAAGGGCAGAGTAAAAAAAAAAAAGTGTCAGATACTGAATTCATTTCACAATCTCTTACGTTGTCTCTGAAATATTGCAGGTGATCTCTGTAACGCCTTCTGCCTTGATACATCCTGGCCAGTGACTGAATCTACAGGAAAGAATCCCAAAGCAGGTCAGATAAAAGTCTTCTCCACAAATATTGCTACCAAAAATGTTGAAGAAAAAAAAAAAAAAAAAAAAAAAAAAAAACCATAGCATTTGCTACCTTCACTTCTTGGTCCTTGTGTGCTCGTCAGTAATCCGAACGGATTTGATATGCCTTCCTCTGTTTATAGCCACGCCACTGGGACTGAAAACACACACAAGAAAAAAGGCGACTTTTCAAAGTGAAGAGCAGTAATTTACTATTCGATGCTTCTTTCTGCTGCTCAGTTTCCACTTCCCTTTGGCTGAATAAAATGTAACAGAGACATGCTCATCTTACAAGACATGCCGTAAGAGATATGCAGTGCAGCCTTAACTATTTCTTCCACCACCAGCTGTCGTTGTGAGGGACTTAGCAGCACCCCCAACAAGGACAAAACACAGCTAGAGAACAAATGACTAAAACTAAACAACCAAAAGCACCATCCATTGCACAATTCTCAAGGCCATCTTCAATTCTCCAAACCCACGGACTAATGGGAAGAGGGAGAGAAGTAATTTATACATAGTGATTCCCAGGGAGAAGATAATGAAGATAATTGTGCATGGCAACTGCTTGACTTGAACAAAACGAGTCAGTAAGCGTGCGTGTGGAGAGCAACTGACAAGTACAAGCTTCAAACAGAATTAGGGGATTTCATACCTGCATGCAAGTGATGGCTGGAACTTGCTTCTTCAAAAACCTCATTCTGGAGTTGAATTCCTGACAGACAAGACAGCCTCGACAACGTGCCTGAAGCTTCACCAGCAGGTTCTCTTTGGCCAGCCACAACTGCTCTCGCTCGTATGCTGCCGTGACTCCAGATACAGTGCTCTAGATTAGTGTTATGGTAGGAAGAAGAGCCAGGAAGAGAAAAGGGAGATGCAAAAATGACATGTTACACAGCGGCTTCTGTATTCTGCTCAAGAGAAACTTACAAGTTGCTTTTCGGTGAGCAGCAACACCACCGTCTTGTTCTGGTGATCAAGGTGTGCACATTCTCCACAATAGGACAAAGAGGTGCTGACGTGCAAAGTAGACAACGAACAGGGAAATAAGATACAAAGCTTGCTAACATCACTACTGAGGTGAAACATTACATCTCAAAGTTGCAATAAGGCCTGAAATAGGGGCAACTTCAACTTCAGAGGAAAAGAGCACGTACTTTACCTGCATCTCCTCCCGTGACAGCTGTGTGTCATTCTGCACAAATTCTGTCGGCTCATCCCATCCTCCCTCTCTGGTCCTCACGTTATGATAATGATGACAGCCTCCTCTCACCCAGTGTTTCACCCGTTCACTGCCACTGCCTCCTGAAAGCAGAAATGCTGCTATGTTGAAAGCAAACACCTATCTATCTTCCTCACATACAAATGCTACAAGAAGGAAATGCATGGAGAGGGCCCTTCCTCCAAGCAATAGAAGGAACGCCGCAGATTCCAATGAACCACCGCAAGAACTACCTAAGCACAATATATTCTACAAGTGGGGAATATTTCACTGCTACCTTTTTCATTTCCTTCCTACCTTTTTTTTCTTTCCGTTAACAAAGACTTCAGTTTACAAGGCAGCCTCAATTTCCTATAACATGAGATTCTAACAAGATACCCAGAACGCAAGACTGCTCCTCACATTGCTCCCCCTCTGCTTTCCATTCTACTGGCAATCATCTTGAATTTACTGCACTAGCAGGTAGCTATTGGGGTTCACCTGTGGCCACTTTTCTCCTTTCGACTTCTGCCAACTCTCGCTGGTATGTCTCTGCACACTCTGCAGCGACTCCGTACAGCCCCACATCTGGTGAGCACAAGGCACTCAGGGTAGGGCTGGTATCTCCGTGACCGACTGCTTCATTCACGGCCAGAATGCCTAAGGAAACTTCAACAACAGGAGAGGGCAGGTTACCTGCGCAGTCAGGAGCTCAGTGGCTCACAACAAACTTCAGAGAGCAAGGCACTGTGCCAGTGTACACAAATACCTTCCTGTATTTATGCATAAAAATACTGATTAAAAAAAGACAACTTGGTGTACAACAATCTTTTCAGTACAGTGTGCATCTGTGTATGGCACAGTGTCTGACAGCGCTTTTTTTTGTGCTCTTAGTCCTACCATGGTGCTGATTTATCAACAGTACTTCTCTACAACCTTTTCTCCATTCACTCAGCTGTACTCTGACAACAGCTGTAGTCCAGGCAGCTTCTTCTTGCAGAGCCCTGCTACAGCAGACAACTGACTCAAAAAGCACCTTTCCAGTGACTGCACCGTTCCTAGCAAGAATAGCAACCTGAACACAGAACAGGTTATCAACAAGAACAAGATGAGGAAAGAGCTAACCCAGGGCTACTCCAGAACTCTGTTGCAAACACAGTACAAAATCAACCACAGGTATCTCACCGAAGCAGTAAACACGAGATACAGTCATTTTCAGCACTGAGCAAATGTCTGTTCGCACACACAGAGGTAGAAGGGTATCTGAAGATCTTATTCAGGCTCAAAGAAACAGACTTTAATCCTGCTTTTGACCAAATGTTCTTGGGCACAGTCCACCTGCCAACTGCACTGATTTGTGTTGTTATCTGCACTTAGTGCAAAAAAAAAAAAAAAAGAAAGTACTTTGAGAATTACTTCATAGAATTCAGGCAACAGTACAACACAAATGAAAGCTAAGATGCACCACAACTGTGCACATGAACATCCTCTATTGGGTTGACTACCCAACCACAGACAGACACAGTGATCTTGCTAATGTCAAACACTTGGACAGAGATTCAATAGGTATCTCTGCCTAGGATGTAACACAGTCACAAGCACAACTGAAATGACATATCCTTCCAAAAAGATTTAAAGAATTGAAGTTTAAAGGCTGTGACATTCATTCTGGAAAGAAAAAACTTCTACACCTACCTGAAGCAAACACTTGTATTTTAATTTCCTTTGCATGTGTACATTTCTTGCTTGAGCCAAGGCACAGCTGTTTCATCCTGAGTGTCCTAAAGAGAATATGATGAGGAAAGCATTCGCAGCATGAGGAAAAGAGCGTCACTGGTTGTGCAAAACAAAACCACCACCTCTGAGCAATTGCAGTTTCAAGGGATACAGGAAGCACTTCAGTATCTTTCTAATCAATTTCAACACAAGGCCATAATGGACATTTGTTACTAGCAGAAGCAACTACAGCATTACCAGGCCAAAACTCATCTCAGGACAAGGAACTCCCACCAAGAGTTCCAGCAGTGGTATCACTCCAACAAACATCAAGGCATCCCAACGCCAAGCAATCTGCACTGCTCAGTCCTAAAGCTGTATCTGCCAATAGGACGTGCCTTTCCAAGGAGCCCAAAAAAGAAAATCACAGAACAATTTAAGATGGAAAGGGACCTCTGAGCTCAGCTGGTACAAACCCCTTGCTCCAGCAGGGACACCGAGAGCACATTATCCAGGACAGACCAGATCCAGATGGCTTCTGAACAACTCCAAAGAAAAGACTCCAGTCCCTCTCTGGTCGACCTCCGCTACTGCTCAGTTACCTCCACTGCAAAGTGCTGCCTGACGTTTAGATGGAACCTCTCGAACCCCAGTTTGTACTCAATGCCTCTTGTCCTCAACTGCATCCTCACTTCCAGCTTTCACATACACTGAAGAGATTCCCTCCAAGCCCTCTCATCTCTAGACTAAAGAGTCTCCTCCCCCTCAGCTTTCCTCTCTGGAGAGCTGTTCCAGTCCCTCAGGCACCTCAGTGGCCCTACGCTGGCCTATCTCCAGTACACTCATGTCTGCTGTCTGGGGGGGCAGGGCAGAACTGGACACAGTACACGAGCAGCCTCACCAGTGCCAAGTGCAAGGATCACCTCTCTGCTGAAGCCTTCCAGGCAGCACGAGCACACTGCCCACTCACAGCCACCTGGCTGTCTGCCTACCAGCACTCCTAGCACTTTTCCTGAAAAGCTTTGTTCTGCTGAGGTGGACACAAACAGAGACTAACAGGAGTCCTTTCCCAGTACCAGGCTGCAAGGAGTTGTTCAGGGAAACTTCATGAAGTGGAAATGCACATACAGGAGCAGCAACCAAAAACTGAGGGGGAACTAACACAACAGCAGGCTGCTCTTGTCCCGTCCACAAAGCTTTGCAGATTTCTGTACCAGCAAATCAAAAAGCACTGCATGTACTGGGGGTAAATACAAATGTACAACAGTAAAAGCATCTCTCAAGTCTCTCTATTAACAGACCATTTGCTGTGGAGTACTGATCACACCGTATCTTATGTTTTGGCTGAAGAAACTCATTAAATAATGTTACACGCAGAAATTGTCCAAGAGACAAGTGTTTAGCAAACCCCAAAATACACATAATGAACAATAGTCCAGCAGCTGCCAAGCACAGCTCCTCCACCCCCACTGTTGCTTCCTGGGGGTTACTATGGAAGGAGATCTGAAGAAGCAACGGCCATCCCTCCAACAACCCCTGATGTGCAAACAGGACACAGGAAACATTGACTTCTGACACGGATTAATAATCCCCCTGCACAAAGAGCCACTATATTCCAGCATGAAGAGTTCTGTGGCAGGACTGACAATTGACATTTCCTTACATACCCTCCACATTACCACTGCTTTGGATTGAAACCTACATCCCTTTAACAAGTCTTATCGGAATGTCCAAGGAGTCCCATGACTGCTTCAGCAATGTAGAAATTCCTGTTGGGAAGGGTGGCAGACTTAGAAGAACAAACTCTTGCACTGCCATCTCTACCAGCACAGTCATCAATCCCAGGACTGTCAAAGCCGTCTGATCTTTCCCGTGCATTTACTGTCACAGTCCCCCAGCAGGGACACGCGCTGTCACACACTGCAGGGTTAACACTTCTCTCACTGCTCATCACGTGAGAAATCGCATCATACGCCAGATCCCCTGCCTTGTGCTGAACTGCAATCCCTCTCAGTCCCAAGCTACACAAGTCACCAGCTAGTAAGCACGTTGACTCAGGACACAACTGTTCTACCCACAGTGCTGGTCTGTACCACGATCTCACCATCGCTGAAATTGCTGCCACGTTGCAGGGAGGAGCCCCACATTGAACATATGCCTCAGTGAGGTAATTTCACGTCAACTGAAGTCACCAATCCAGCCTGGCAGAAGCTTACGTGCACACCAAGAACAACTCCTTATTTCATTCTCACTCAGTAGGAGGAAATGCTTCAGCACAAAATGGGTTCCTGAGGAACAAGAACCCTTTCAGGGCCTCTGAGGAAGCTGCTCAGTGATCTTCATCACCAGCGCAGTTTTCGGACACTGCCATCGTGAAGGTTTACACTTAGTCAAAAAAAACAAAGCAAACAAACATACTAAAAAACACCCATGTTGAACACAGTATCATCTCAGTCTCTATGCTAAAATCCCTGCTGGAATTAGAACAATGAGCTCCACAACTGAAAAGATAGTACAAAAAGAAATTAAACACGCGTAGGCAACTGAAAGGAAGCACATCTGCTACTTCTGTGTAAGCATAAGGAAATAAAATAGCATCCCACTCATCTGTTAAAAAAAAAAAATCAGTAGCATGTACACCACAGAATCACAGGGTTGGAAGGGACCTCAAGGATCACGAATCTCCAACCCCCTGCCCGAGGCAGGGCAACCAAACACCACCCATACAGTGTTTCATCTTCCTTCCTAAGCCAGTAAGGTGAGATCATTCTTCCTCTCTCCATTTTCACCTGTACATACAGACCAGTTACACAAAGAGGCAACTCCATCTAAGTCAGGAGAAGTCCTGGGCTACCACAACAGACAACCACCATGCACAAAATGCATAGCATCTGCAGCGTCACCTAGCGAGTGATAGGCATTCATACACATCTTGCTAGAAGCATATATTTTGTTTTCTGTTTTCCCCTCCTTCTGAACAAATTCATCACCTAACAAGTTTTTTTTCCTATTTCTCAAACCTCATTTTTGCTTGATGTAACTACACCTATGGATACATTTAACAAATAGCACTAAAAAATGGAGACTGAACGAGACTTGCATTTGGAAATTCACAGCTATTAGGATAAACACTGCCTTCTTATAAAAACAAATGACACTGAACACATCTCCTCATATCTCCAAAAAGAAGGTACGTCTGCCACTCTGGACGTACAATTAGCTAGAGCAATCCATCTCCAGCAGTTCATATCTTGAAGCCCATCTCTGTAGTTCACCAAGATTCACGTGTTATGCCTGCATCTCTCTTTCCTTCATACAGACAGATCCAAACTGGCCAGGTAACATCAGCTGATAGCATGCAGCGTTCACCCTTTCATTTCCAGATCTGTTTCCCAGCTTTTCTCCCAACGTCAGGAATGCCCTCAGTACACAGATGCAAAGGCTTCTTGAGAGGTACTTTTAACTACACCCACCTGTGCTTTCTCTCTCTTAGCCCGAAGCAGTGTGCCCTGATAATGCTGACCTACCTGTGGGGTTACACCCTCCAGTTTTGCTGCAGGAATCTGTATAAGGCTTGCAGAGCTTTTCTGGTGTCTCCTTCATCCAGCGCCTCGCTGATAAGCCCAACAGCCAAAACTCCTACAGAGAAAGGGATAGAAGAACAAATACAAGATCCAATCCTTATCCAATCCTTTACCATCATCACAAAACTGTGCTTTGGAAGAAAAGTGCTGTTAGTGCTAAACCAAATACCCGCTGAGAATAGCAACATCTTAATAGCAATCATTTTCTACTAGCAAAGAAAGCAAGACCACTTCTCCACCTTCAAGAAGCCACACACTTTTGGACACAGTAATAAATAAAGGAAAAAGGAGAAAAAAGATCCCTCGGGGAGACCACATGAATGGACACATGAATGAGTTCTTCAACACGTAGCTCAAATCCACTAGAAGGGAATTATCAAAACCTCAATGGCCAGGGCTAGTAAGTTACAAGCTTGCAAGAATCCTTCAGAATCAAGCTCTTCACACCAAGCTATAGCTTTGCACAGAACGCCATTCAGAAATACACTGCCTTCACTTCTGAAATACCAGCATTTATTGGATGCATGTACTAGGAGCTGTATTACAACAGATAACAGTGGGTGCTGCCAGGGACAGCGAGGACTACAGCTCAACTAACTGAAAACAGACATAAATAGATAGCTTGCAGTTAGCTAAATGTGAACAAAGCCTGAGTCACACATGCCAAACCTACAGCAAATCACAAAGTCATCTGGCTTGGAATGGACACCCAGAGATCGTGTGATGCAACGTATATTGAATATTCAATTATTGCTTGCTGAAAGAAGCAGCAGTTCAAATCACAGTTGGAGAGTTTACAACAAAGATCTTTCAGAAGAAAGCGAGGAGCTCAGAGTGGATACAACTTGGGTTAAAACACCCAAAGACTGCAGCTTTTTCTTCTGCACGCAGTAGGAGAATCACAGTGTGGAACGTTTTATGGCAGGCACTGCATTTGGACAGAGCAAAGATTAAGGAACAATACACGCTAGGGACACCACAGGAACCAGGATTGCTAAGAAGACCGTACGACTGCTGTAAAAAAGCACCATGTCAAGG